CCTAGGGATGCTTCCAGTCAAATTTAGTTTAATTCCAACTAGTGGTTAAGAAGAAGTCGTTTAAAGAAATTGTTGACGAACGGACGGACGGACGGACGACGGACGCCACGGTATGGCATAAGCTCACCTTGGTCCTTCGGACCAGGTGAGCTAAAAAAAACAGTACGATTGGCCATTTTGTGATAATATGAATCATAGGATTATTTACATTCTTGATGGCATGAACGGTAAATATCAATACAAAGGTAAAATTCTTTAATAGCAAACCGAACGGTGACAAATTTATAATTTCCCCTGCGAGTAAGCATTGTGAAGTGAATGGTTTCTTAGAAGCCACATGAGTACTTAGAAATGTTATATAGGTGTGGTGTTACGTATAGCTATATCAGAGTATCTAGTAATTCTTTGTAAAACACATCGTATAATGACGTAATATATTTAACGAACCGCAGATATAATTCAGTCCATTATCATGAAATTCGTTATGCATATTTATGATTTATATACACCAACATTTCACAATATGATATTTAAATGTTTACGATGGCGGGCTGTCATAGTTGAAGGGTCCTGGGTTCAACCCGGCAACCAATATATCAATATCGCGTACGTAGGAGGCCTTACTTGTCGTCATTTATCTTTCAACAATATTTCTGAACCGTTATATGTGTATTTCATGAAACAATGCAAATCTTTTAACTTTACGTAAGAATTCAGTTAAAGCAGACAGGAAAGCACTACCATCAAACGACTATCAGTGTAATTTACGCTGTGAAACCCTGCATGTTATTTTTATTCTCATACTGATCGGATGTATCAGCGGTTAAAAAAAGCAATATATGTTTCGTATAGAATTTGGCACGCATGTTCAGGGTTTAAATGGAAAAGTTTCTGTAATTATTAATAAAATACTCGGTTAGAGTCATATTTAGTTTAATCGCTGAAATAGCAATCAACGCACTTACCCGTATATTACAGTTCAAAAACGTATCTTAAATTGCCACTATACTGTTTGAGTCATATATTAATGATACAAGTTACCTATTCTTACCGGATTTGAAATTCTGAGTAGTTAGCAATAAAGTTACAAAGTAGCTCTAAATTGTTTTAAAAGGAAATGTTTTGCTCCAGAAAATTCTTACCACACTTTCGCTTTCTTAATAAGTACGTTTGAGTCGTTGGTAATTTTTGTGAGTATATTGCATCATTCAATCACCTGATGGGGTTAGAATGCGGGTTGTACATGGGTACAACAATCTAAACGTGTATACGTGTAAAATAGCATAATTACAGTAAAACTGTCTAATTGAGTCTGTGAATTATTGTTAGTTTTGATTGAGAACCACTTGAATACTTAACGTACAGTATTGTATTAAAAACATATCATCCAGCTTACTTCCAGCTAAAATCATAACACATCAGATATTGCTAACAAAATGGATTGTTACCTGTGTTTAGTTTCAGCAAACTTGTAAACTCTGATCGGTTCTGGTATTTGCAAATTACCCTTGTACTGTAATCGAATTCACTGGCCTGAACCATTGCCAAACAGATTTTTCACGAACTGTTTATAATTTCAATATTTTAACATCCCTGCAAGTCGAACACATTTAACAAAATATGCTGCGGTTTTTTATTTGTTTGGTTTGCTTTTAACGCTCTTTCAAAGTAAAGTAAAGACAGGTTTGGTTTGGTTGTTTTTGTTGAATTCAGCGAATCATTCAAAGCTAAAGTCATTTAAAATCTTGTCACTGTTTGTTTAATGTTTACTTGTGTATTGGAGGCACTATGTTGGTGTATTTGCAAGTTCGGGGAAAGAAAGGGCCTGTTGTATCCCACTGCATAGTCGTAAGAGGCGACTAATATCCCCTCCTGCAGAATCGGGGGTTTTTCTACCATGTCTTCGACGTACGGGACATGGACGAGACCAACTTGATCTGCTGCCCCCCTTTTTCGTTTTATGTCTTTCCTGCCTTTCGTTTCTATCTACATTCTGTTTCAGACGGTGTCTCCCTCATAGACTGTTGCGAGGATGTTAAACTCAAACAAACAAACAAGTATTTGCCTACTTGGGATACAGCGGGTTTGATTCGACTATACAGTACTACCTCTTTAAGATACCATACTGGTGACACCCAATCCAGTATTCCACCTAGTCACGTTATATAAATACTAACAACAGGTAAACCAGTTGTTGCGATTACCCATTGTTGTATGTCCCGGCCTGGGGACAGAACCCATTGCCTTCCCCCATTTAGATAAACGTTCAACACTTATTATGTATAAGGTGGAACAATAAAACATGATATTTGGTGAACTTAACACCTCGTATCATTAGCTGAAATTACTCAACAATTTTCCGATATATTTATATTTATTTTCCTGTGTGAATTAATTCCTATTGTCACATTGTGTTTATTTTTTATTTATATATTTATCCTTAAAATCTTATCACCATAATCAGGTCTTGTCCCCTTGATATGAAGTTAACGAGCAATGACTCATATTACCTAAATCAGGTCTATCCAGATACCAAGTAAAGGTCAAAAAAACATATAATACTTAAACTTACCTTAATATACCATCCAGCCCCTAGATACATTGCTATCCATGTGATATATTTAGGTTGTTTTCTGGTGTGCTGTTTCTCTATTGTATCTAAAAACTGGAAAGTCCATTGTTACTATTTTTAGAATATCGATTGGTTGCCAGAAATTCAATGTAAATGTTAAGTTGTATAACTCGGTGTTAATGAATCGAAGTACTCCAGTATTTGTTATATACCGACACTCATATGCGCTAAGCTACATTAACGAAGGTATTCATCCAGGTTAAATTTCAAAGGGCGATGTCTCCAAAAGTTTTAATCTGATAACACACGTGGTATGAACGTCCATAACTTAAGAATCACACACATAAACAACGGACACTTTTTTGCATATTTCTGAAAATGTCAAATTTTGATGTTCTAATAAAAATTAATACAGACGGTACGTAAGCAACACATCAACACAAATAGTGTGTAACCTCCCACCGCCTCTAACAAGGAAGTTAATATGTTATAACCACAGGGACCTGCGAATTCGTTACAGCTATATTTGGACCTAGCCTAAGATGTTTAGAGTAATTTTACACATTTTGGGAGTTTAAATCAATATTCGGTAAACATGCCACCCCCAATGATGATCGGGTATCATTTTTACCGAAAGTCGTTCTCAACCCCTAAAACATGTAAAATTACTCTGAACATCTTAGTTTAGCTCCAAATATAGCAGTAAGCTGTAACAAATTATCAGGTCCCTGTTGTTATAACCTCAGTTTTTAAAATGTTATAAGCATAAACATGAACTGTGCTTTCCCTCTTTTCACCAGAAATCGCTATAGATACATGCGATACTAGTTACGAATATTCATTATATATACATACATATGATATAATCCAGTCGGTTGCCATGAATAAACTATTTTCCTTCATCTTTTTAGTCTACATACCCACACATAATATTAAATATAGATATAAAAAACATTTTAACACGTCATCAAGCTGACAATGTTTCAAAGAGTCGTGCTATGATTATGCAATGTGTGTATTACATGTGTATATATGACTAAGTTATCCCTCGTAGGCAATGTGTGTATTAAATGTGTATATATGACTAAATTATCCCTCGTAGGTAATGTGTGTATTACATGTGTATATATGACTAAATTATCCCTCGTAGGCAATGTGTGGATTACATGTGTATATAAGACTAAATTATCCCTCGTAGGCAGTGTGTGTATTACATGTGTATATATGACTAAATTATCCCTCGTAGACGTAGGCAAGTATCAAGCACCACTTCTCACAAAGTCAGGTCACACCGTTCACACATGGGTGGAGTATTGTACGCTATACTGTAACAGGATATAACCTTGTGCAATATCTTGTGTGGCACAAGTAAAGACAAAATAGAACAAGAGGCCCATGGTCCTTAATGGCCACCTGATATATTCATACAGAGAGTTGATTTTGTTTTTAACACGAACAGAAATAGTATTCAGTGACAGAAAAATAAAAAATAAACCCACCTTATTCAATATCTAGCATACAGATTTAAGACTAAAAAGTATTTGAAACTAGCACCTCTGATTCTAAACAAGGAAAATGAAGAAATTTTAGCACACTGACTCCTTTGGGCACCACCCTACAGCCCTTGGGGCTGGCTCAAAGTATCAAACTGTCAACTCAGGGTTATAATTCCAATCAAGTTATTAACATGTAATATTCAAAGTATCATTTGCCATTATAAACCATAATAAATTTTGACACCCCCCTCCTTCCCCAGGGGGTAAACGTGAGACCATAGGGTCATAAACCATTGAGAAGTTTTTTTTTGAAATTTCAGTCAATTCAACCCTTTTTGGCCCCACCCATCAGCTCCGGGGGGTCAGTCAAGGCTCATATGTGCTTTCCATCAAACTACTATCCAATACTGATAATACAAACCCAAATTGAATTACTTCCAATGGGAATTAAACAAATGGTGGTCCAAAATGTGATTTCCCCATATAAACTATAATAAAGTTTACCCCCTCCCCAGGGGTACACGCGAGACCCCAGGGTCATAAAATTCACAATTTTGGTAGAGCACCTTAAGACCCTTCCATCTATGAAGAGTGTTTGATTCTACCATATCTTGGTCTAGAGTAGAAGATTTTTGAAATTTAAGTCAATTTGACCCTTTTTGACCCCACCCATCAGCACTGGGGGTCAGTCAGGGCTGATATGTGCATACCATCAAACTGCTATCTAATACTGACAATGCTAGCACAAATTGAATTACTTCCAATGGAAATTAAACAAATGTTGGTCCAAAATGTGATTTCCCTATAGAAACTATAGTAAAGTTTACCCCCTCCCCAGGGGTACACGTGAGATCCAAGGGTCATAAAATTTACAATTTTGGTAGAGCACCTTAAGACCCTTCCATCTATAAAAAGTGTTTGATTCTACCATATCTGGGTCTTGAGAAGAAGATTTTTGAAATTCCGGTCAATTCAACCCTTTTTGGCCCCACCCATCAGCCCCGGGGGGTCAGTCAGGGCTCATATGTGCATACCATCAAACTGCTATCTAATACTGATAATGCTAACCCAAATTGAATTTCTTCCAATGGAAATTAAACAAATATTGGTCCAAAATGTCATTTCACTATAGAAACTATAGTAAAGATTACCCCCTCCCCAGGGGTACACGTGAGACCCCAGGGTCATAGAATTCACAATTTTGATAGAGCACCTTAAGACCCTTCCATCTATGAAGAGTGTTTGATTCTACCACATCTGGGTCTTGAGAGGAAGATTTTTGAAATGTAAGTCAATTTGACCCTTTTTGGCCCCACACATCAGCACTGGGGGTCAGTCAGGGCTGATATGTGCAAACCATCAAACTGCTATCTAATACTGATAATGCTAACCCAAATTGAATTACTTCCAATGGAAATTAAACAAATGTTAGTCCAAAATGTGATTTCCATATATACACTATAGTAAAGTTTACCCCTCCCCAGGGGTACACGTGAGACCCAAGGGTCATAAAATTCACAATTTTGGTAGAGCACCTTAAGACCCTTCCATCTATGAAGAGTGTTTGATTCTACCATATCTGGGTCTTGAGAAGAAGATTTTTGAAATATCAGTCAATTCGACCCTTTTTGGCCCCGCATCTCAGGCCCTTGGGGGCCGGGGACCAAACCGGCAACTTTTTTTGTTGACCTTTGGCCATGGAAGGTTTCTGCAAAATTTCATTGAAATTGGTTCAGGGGTTTTGGAGAAGAAGTCGAAAATGTAAATTGTTTACGGACGCACGACAGACGACGGACGACGACGGACAAAAGGCGATCGCAATAGGTCACTTGAGAATTTGTTTCAGGTGACCTAAAAACCCATGTTGCATTTACGAAAATATAATTGTGGTTTAACCGTAAAAAGGTTTTTAGGTCACTTGAGACGTACGTCGTACGTCCGTAAACAATTTACATTTTTGACTTCTTCTCCAAAACCCCTGAACCAATTTCAATGAAATGTTGCAGACACCTTCCATGGCCAAAGGTCAACAAAAAAAGTGGCTGGTTTGGACCCAAGCCCCCAGGGTCAAATTGACTAAAATTTCAAAAAAAATTCTTCTCAAGACCCAGATATGGTAGAATCAAATACTCTTCATAGATGGAAGGTTCTTAAGGTGCTTTACCAAAGTTATGAATTTCTTGACCCTGGGGAGGGGGTTAACTTTACCATAGTTTATATAGGGAAATCACATTTTGGACCAACATTTGTTTGATTTCCATTGGAAGTAATTCAATTTAGGTAAGCATTATCAGTATTGGGTAGCAGTTTGATGGTATGCACATATGATCCCTGACTGACCCCCCAGTGCTGTTGGGTGGGGCCAAAAAGGGTCAAATTGACTTAAATTTCAAAAATCTTCTTCTCAATACCCAGATATGGTAGAATCAAATACTCTTCAAAGATGGAAGGCTCTTAAGGTGCTTTACCAAAATTGTGAATTTCATGACCCTGGGGTCTCACGTTTTCCCCTAGGGAGGGGGTAAACTTTATTATAGATTTTATAGGGAAATCGCATTTTGGACCAACATTTGTTTAATTTCCATTGGAAGAAATTCAATTTGGGTTTGCATTATCAGTATTGGATAGTAGTTTGATGGTATGCACATATGAGCCCTGACTGACCCCCCGGAGCTGATGGGTGGGGCCAAAATGGGTTGAATTGACTGAAATTTTAAAAAAAATCTTCCCAAATACCCAGATATGGCAGAATCAAACACTCTTCATAGATGGAAAGGTCTTAAGGTTTATGACCCTATGGTCTCACGTTTACCCCCTGGGGAAGGAGGGGGGGGGGGGGCAAAATTTATTATGTTTTATAATGGCAAATGATACTTTGAATATTACATGTTAATAACTTGATTGGAATTATAACACTGAGTTGACAGTTTGATACTTTGAAAATTTTGAGCCAGAGGAGTCAGTGTGGTAAAAAAAATCATTTTCCTTGTTTAGAATCAGAGGTGCTAGTTTCAAATACTTTTCAGTCTTAAATATGTATGCTAGATATTGAATAAGGTGGTTTTATTGTTTTTTGTCACTTTAAATAATATTTTTGTTCATGTTAAAAACAAAGTCAACTCTCTGTATAAATATATCAGGTGACCATTAAGGCCCATGGGTCTCTTGTTTAATTAAAATATACACGATTCCTTATCGCATCCGTCTCAGATAAAAGTAATTTTGAAAATGTGATAATTAAAGATGTATAATAAAAAGTGAATTATTTAAACACACTACAGGGAAATAATTGTACCATTAAGATCTAATGAAATCTTAGGATAAACCGTACACAGAAGACATTAAAATATGAAATAGACAGCATGACCACATTGGCTCCGAAGATGCCGCCCATCTTACTCTATTAAATCATATTTAGTTAGACTACAGTTGTGCAGCTCTGTATATGTAGTTATATTTCGGTCCCCATAGTAATAGTATCGTCAGGGTTCCTTATCCAGAAGGGAGAAATGCTACTTAAAACGGCTAATTAGAAGTGGTTCCATCGCAGAGTTTTTTTACTCCTGATATAATAAGGTGGGGGATCGAGAAAAGATTATACACCTGCTGTTACCCTCTGTATGTATCGTAAGAGGCGACTCATGTGCCAACCCCCTGCAGAATTGGGGATTTGCTATTGTGCCCTTTACTTGGATACACAAAAGCGACCAAAAAAAATCTGCTGCACCCATTGCAATAATTGGGATCTTCATACTTTCTACTTGTAACTACCATTTATTCCTAGTGCCTTGCTTGGCAACATCTCACTTTTGGCCTTAATGTTGAACGTTCTTCCAGGCGAGGAAGGCAATGGGCTCTGTCCCCAGGCCGGGACATACCAAAGTCATTAAAATGGTAGTTGTTATTCCTAGTTTATCGTTCAGTATTTAGGGAAATGAAAAGAGGCCCAGAGGGCCTGTATCGC